CATTGCCCGAAAAATATATACTTTACCATGACATCTAATGTTGCTGAATCAATAAATGCTGCCATCTGATCCGTTCATGACCGACCGGATAACAAAACTACTAGAGGCTCTTAGGGATATGTAACAGAGATGGAATGTGACAAACAAGGATGAAGCCAAAGGTACATTTACTACTCTTGTAAAAGCCACATAGTATGTTGGAAACTAATTACAAAATAGCAGCAAGATATTTAGTAAGTATTAATGGTTCTGTGTTTGTGTTGTTTTTGTTTTTTTTTCTTGTGTATTTTTATTTTTTCACGACTTATTACCTGACATGCACAAAAATATACTTCAAATATACTAAAATGTGTAACAGGTGCAGAAAGCCAGTGATAAAGTGTATAAAGTGATAGCTGATGGTAAAGCCTTTATAGTGGACACAAAGTCAAAGTCCTGCACATGCCACCGCTTTCAAGTTGATGAGATGCCGTGTCCGCACGTTATATGTGTTATAAAGTCACCCCACTTAGATCCGATTCCATTCTGTTCCGTGTACTACCTAAACTCTACAATGTTGCCAACTTATGAGGATGTTGTTATACCAATTGAAGGAAATATAGCATTCACGAGTGTAGCACAATCTGACCGCACATTGGTAAATCCCCAAATGCACGAGTTAGGCCGGGGCGACCACGCAAGCAGCGGGTAAGATCAGGATGGGAGCATAGGTCAAAAAATAGATGCAACAAGTGTAATGAGAAAGGGTACAATGCGAAAACTTGTTGGAATCTGAAAAGATGAGAGTCCAATAAGTGCTATGTATAAATTTTTGCAGGTTGACAGACACCTCTCTCTCCTCACCGCCCTGGGCACTCACGACGAGAGACTGGACAGGTTGTACACCGCCCCATCGCTGGAGACCACCACCTTATTTACCTGTCCAGCACCCATGACCCAGGACCGTTGTTTGGCTGAAACCCAAGCCTCTTTGGGTTAAGCTAAACACTGACGGTGCATTTGACAGACATACCGGAGCTGCTAGAGGAGGAGGCCTGATTAGGGATCATGGAGGGGCACTCATCACTGCCTTTTATGGACCACTCTGGGCCTCCTCGAGTTATGATGCGGAGATTCAGGTACTCCAGATTGGTCTTGAGATTGTCGCCTCGATCTCCTCCCATATCTGGATAGAGATGGATGCTGCAGCTGTCATCACACTTTTGACATCTGGCCACCAGGGCTCATGGCAGATCCAACATCCCCTTATGCGCATCAGAGACACCCTTCGCTCAATCCATTACCAGATCTCACACATATTCCGAGAGCAAAACCGCCACGCCGATTTCTTTGCTAGCACGACGGCATCTATATCTCAGAGACGCATCCTTCACCCAGAGGACATCCCCCTCCGGCTTTGGACCTTCATTCGGATGGACCAGCTTCAGTACCCACCCTTCAGATTTGGACGGCCGCCACCACCTGATCCTGACTAGACTTGTCTTTTTGGACTTCACGCCAGGACACCTTGACCAGGACGACCTTTCATGAGGACTAGACTTTAGATCCAGATCGGATATTCTTTGGTCATTGTATATTTTGGTTTTCTGCTTTGATGATGTTCTATGTACTTTTCGACATTGATGTAG